ATAGGTAGATCCCCGGAAAATGTGAAATCATATGCAAACTAGTCACAAAGGTGAAGTTGTCGGTTTAATAAAAAATGCTTTTCTTTGTCAGGAAACTACCGAATTTCTCCCACATTTTAATATGCTACAAGGATTTTTTGTGTCAACTTTCGTAATGGAGACCAAGGACAATATTAGATTGGTTCGCGATTTCCAGTTGATATGGGATATCACATGATGACTCGCCCTGTTACGCCAAATTCTTTAATGGCTTGAACTTTGCAACTCATGTTAGCCTGTCAAAAATAATTTAGTTGTCAAATGTCCTCCAGACTTTCGCCAGATATGGTACATCTAACCCGATGAAAATCTAAATGATGCTTTTATACATCTCTTACAACAGATTTCAAGAGAGTAGGTTCAGTTTCTGCTCTGGTCCGAAGATCAGCAGCTCGGCGGTGTGTTGACTGTACGGCAAAAGGTTTCGAGGCAGAGAAACCCTCACCCTGACTGGTCAGAATATTGGCCAACCACAAGCGAGTTTTATCAGTTTGCCCCATCACGAGGCCTTTAGCGTTACCCTGAGGCGGTTGTTCTATCCAGACAGCTGCATTGCTGTTGCTTTTTCCCGATCAAAGGCTGCCTCAAGCTTTCGTCATAGTATTGCAAAAGGAATAGTAGACCACTTATTGGCATACGAGATACGGTCGTGAACGATTTATAGCAGATTGGGTGGCCCGTGGGAGCGCGGTGCTCCTACTACAGACACCGTATCCTCGAAGAAATGAATCCTCCCTATATAAAGAGATCACTTCAATAAAGGTCACAAACCAGGACTGGAAAGGACAAAGGTCAATGTAGCATCGACCAGATTACGACGACAGGGGATGCCAAACTCAAAGGTCACGTGGGCATCAGCGAATGGGGATACAGGACAACGGAGCGACCAGTGGAATCACCCGACCGAACAACTAATCGCGACCAAAGGTCACCCCCTGCTAGCAGCACGTATATTAACACACGCACAACACTACCCAACGCACAACCACCAACCCACCGCTACGCACTACTACGCTCCACGATAATGCACTGATGATGTCACCTCGATTGGTGATGAAACGTTTGCAATCAAATTGCCCAGCTCAGCGAACAAAAAAGAGATCACTTCAGTCTATCCACACAAAATACGGATCTACGCCATTGCTCCGAACGGGGTTTGCCTCGACTCAGTTTGAATGCCCGGATGTGGTGATCTCATCGATTTCTGATAATGTCCGTTCGAAGTGCTTCGGACTATTTGTTTCAGTTATGCGATAAGATAGTTTGAACCGTTTTTCCATGTCGCCTACTGGATAGACCAGCGGACCTTGATCAGCTTAACGAAAATAGGCTGAGTTTCACTCTGCTGGTTTAAATTCTTCATAGCTAACTTGGACTGCCTCTGCCCTCGTGTGATTCCAAAACTGGACTGCGTTGTGTGGAACACTGAATTTAACTGGACCTCATGATAAGCCCCCTATTCTTTTGCTCATGTGCTTTTGATCCCCACTTGTTTTGCTCTGTACCCACGCCATTCAGCATGCCGCGAAAGTTGTCTCGACAGAAAAGGGTATACCAGCAGGTGTGTAGTCGTCTCGACAGAAAAGGGTATACCAGCATGTGTGTAGGGGTGTGAATGTACGCAACTGACCTACTTACCGATGCGTGTAAGTGTCGTGTTTTCTGAGGCTGCCCTGGTTTATCCTGTCCTGATTTCCGTGCAATCGTACCGCCAATCAGAATCACGAGACTGGCCTCGGAATTGTCGGCCGCAACCCACACTACCGGGTCAACACTCCGCTCGCCGTTGTTTGATGTGTGGACCTTGACACTGATTTGTGACTGTAAGTGACACACTTGGGTACTTGTAGACGCCAACAATGTGAACAATTATGGTTTTTTGTTCACTTTTGTTCACTTTGTTCATTTTTGTGTAAATAGTACCGTAGACTTGCGAACTCAAGACTTTATTTTGGTAGTCGGTATTGTCAAACCTACACGTTGCTCAACCTTTCGTATCGAGAACCTTACCACGATGAATGTTGGGCCTTTATCATCATGAAAGTGCTACGTCCCTAGTGACATAGGTCATGAAACCAGGACGGATACGCGTGACATGTGGACTGTTTGTGGCAAAAAACGTTCTTGCTCATTCACTCTGCTCCTCAGTCAATGCTTCCCAAAAGACAAGCGAAACCTCTTAACCAATTGGTGCACAGAAACGTCACCCATTGGTAATCCACTGGGTGGGTATAATCAATATATCTTGAACATTGGTCCAGACATCGCAAAAAGCTCTTAAGAATTCGGAAAGTGGCCTTGACCCTTGCGTGAATAAGCTGCTTACTTGGTAACAACACTTTCTGATCGAAGTTTTCAATTTCGATAGCATGCAAGAGCCGTTCAAAGTGAGCACAGAGCCTCAGTCTGTTCCGTTTAAAAGGCGCTTTATCAAGCACCTTCAAGGAGGGATAAAAAATAGCGAGTGTGTTGCATATCATGCTAAAGGATATAAAAACGTTGCCTAATACGACAGACCACATTGGTTCGAGCACATGTGAAGATCGTCAGACCTCTGAGGTATTTCACATTCATGTTTCGCTACTTAAACACAACTCAGTACCCAAAAATGCGGTGAAATGTTTGCTGTCAAGACAAGATGTTCAGACCCGTTACGGGAGGTTTTTGCGAAATCGAAAGAACGAAATTAAAAATCAGAATAACCTGTGTTATCCTGAAAGATGTCTAAACTTTCCTAAAAGTGCGCTCCAAAATTTGGACACAAAAAGTGTGAGAAACCAATTTAGATATGTCACAGGTATGACAGATCGAAAAATTTAACAGGGTACGTAAACTAAGTGATTGTCTGGAATTTGTTTCAGTATGTGAGTCGAGGCAAACTTGGGAAGAAGCAGGCTGAGTTTAAACATCACGGGCAGAGAAAGAGCTTCCAAAGCGTACAACGCAAAGTGTTTTTGGCTGAGTGAATTTGACATGACACTGACGTCCCCAGGAGCTGAGATGAAAAATAATTCAAAATTTCCTGGCTGCTCAGTTTCTCCCAAGAAAACCGTGGACTGATATGTTGTCCAGTGACTCGAACTTTCTGTTGCACCTGCCATCTCCGATGGCAAAAAAACACCGGATATGGGTAGTCAAGGCTACTCGTTATCAGCTAAGAAATCGAACGATTCAAAATCTCGACATAACCCATACTGGCTAACTCTTGACAGCAGTGGTGTTGTGGCTAACCCAACAAAGAACACACTTGCCATAAATGGAGACTGAGATCTTACTCAGAGGCCGTGAACGTTTATTGGAGGAGCATTTTCTGGCGCCCAAACTTGACAGTGAGGAAAATGTAGTTGACTCCAATGTTTGGTTCCACGCTGACTCGATGAGTTTGTTAGCAAACCCCGTGCAAGTCCTTTGCCATGTTTTGTCCGTTTCCATTCGGCTTGCTTTGTGTTACATGGGCTTGGTCATTCAACTTTGTTTGGAATATTAATCTGAAAAACCGCATGGTCCTCGGTGTTCCTTAATGGATGTGATGTATTAAAAAAACTTTTCGGTGTCACAAAATATGTTGGGAGAGAACAACCTCCCAAGGGTTTTGGGAGGGATCATA